GAGCACGGGGTGTCGTGTTTCACGGGGTGGCTTTATCGGGCATAGAAGCGTGACGTTCGATTCCGCACGGCGGGGCAACGTTATCTTGAAGCACTCCCGCTCTGTCCGGCCGGAGATACCGCGTCGAGCGAACACCTACCACGATAATAAGCGGCTGACCCGATTCTAAAGTAGATGCACCGGGGTCAGTAACCCCGAGCGAGCACCGAAATACCCGCGCAATCAAATGAAAATGAGATCACGACTCGTTACGACATCAAAAATGACGGTTAGCCGGAGGAGGAGGGTCGGAGGGTGGGGAGTAGGCGGGGAGGAGAAGGAGGTTGCGGGAGTGGGAGAACGGGGAGGTGGGGGAGGCACCAGGGGGAGGAGGGAACCACCGAGTGACGTAACTGGCTCGGGGGTCGACGACCGGANGGAGGGTTAATGCACCGGTCGCCTGGTTTCAACCCTCCGGAAAAAGAGTCAACGCGCACCTCCACCGGTGATTGTCCCGGCACAGAGATTTAAAGAGGAACGTCGACGCCGCCCGGAGAAAAAAAGACTAAGAAACCTCTATTTTATCGCCCACACGGAACGTGCCTTACCCTCTGACACCCCGTGGCTTTAGCCCGCCATATTCTACTCGGCACTATAACGAGACTTTCGCGAGCGGGTTTCGAGCCGAATTCTAACGGGGAGTTGAGAGGTCATCGACGATGCATAATGTGTGCTTGCGTCTTGTTTAATCTGGGGGTTGTTGGTTTGAGGAATGTATACTTGTTGAGTTTGATGTAATGGGATTGCACTGCTGATTTCATTTTGTGATTTTTGTTGGTAGAATTGTGTGTGCGGTATAGGCTGAATGTGTGGAGAGGTATTCCACACATGCATATATGTTGAGTATGTAGTGATGTATGCTAAATATGTAGAATAACGTGTTTTCCACATATGTATTACTATATATGTCACTACTGTTATATGACATATGTCACATACTTCATATGATGTATTACACATGTCATATGATGTATTCTACATATGTAGTGATATATGCTAAATATGTAGAATAAGGTATTCTCCACATATGTATCACTACATATGTCACCATTATACCTGTTATCACTACATATGTTATGACATATGTCACATACTTCATATGATGTATTCTACATATGTAGTGATATATGCTAATTATATAGAGTGATATATGCTAGATATGAAGAATAAGGCATTCTCCACATGTGTATCACTACATATGTCACCACTATACCTGTTATCACTACATATGTAATGATATGTGCTACACATGTCGTATGATGTATTCTACATACGTAGTGATATATGCTAATTATATAAAGTGATATATGCTAGATATGTAGAATAACGTATTCTCCACATATGTATTACTATATATGTCACTACTGTTATATGACATATGTCACATACTTCATATGATGTATTCTACATATGTAGTAATATATGCTAATTATATAAAGTGATATATGCTAGATATGTAGAATAAGGTATTCTCCACATATGTATCACTACATATGTCACCATTATACCTGTTATCACTACATATGTAGTGATATGTGCTACACATGTCATATGATGTATTCTACATATGTAGTAATGTATGCTAAGTATGTAGAATAAGGTATTCTCCACATATGTGTCCCTACATATGTCACCACTATACAAGTTATCACTACATATGTAGTGATATGTGCTACACATGTCATATGATGTATTCTACATATGTAGTGATATGTGTTAACAATATTTAAAAATTTTAGGGTAAATTTAAAATAGTGAAATTAATGTGAGCTTCATATAACAAGTATTAATTATTAAAATAAATAAATATTAATTTAACTAGAAGTTTTATAGTTATGTAAATAAACAGTCCATAATACTTTCAACTTTCGTCGATTATATAATTTTCCTGAATTAATGAATATTTGTAAATTAATTTTGAAACTAGAATTATTTATCATGTAAATGACTAAATTAACAAGTGAGTAAACAAATAAACATCAGAATGTGAATTATGAATTATAGTAATTGTGTGAAAAATTGCAATTGTAAAATAGTTGGAAATGAATAATCACAGGAAATAATAGAAAAATAAGAAGTAATCAAAATCGTAGTCATGGAGCATGAAAGATAAATGAATTTAGTAGAGACATGAAAAGTATGAATTTTATTTAATTTCACTGTTGTTGGAAAAGTAATGACGTTTTCATAATTCAAATTTACCGCGCTTTTTCCTGGCTTCGTAATATTCAACACGTACCAAAATTTAAATAAACTAGAATATTAATTTTGGGAATTTAACTTGGTGAGTTAATTCAGATGACAAAATTTAATGTTAGTTCATTTAATACCTAAACTAACCTGTCAGATTTGACTGCTGAAAGTAACCTAATTCAATCCACATTAACATTGAAGCTTAAACCATTTTTATTAAAATTTAAGTAACAAAACCTAACTTAAATTTAATAAATGTTAGTACTAGAAGATAATTCATTTTAATTTGATATATTTAAACTATGAAACCTAACCTAAATTAATTTAATAAGTCTGAAGGATAAAACATAACCTAACCTCAACATATTTAAAAGAGAAAGTTAATTTAATAAATTAATAAATTTAAACTAAAGACCTAACCTAAATTAATCTGACAAACTTGTATGACAAAACCTAACCCAAACTCAACATATTTAAAAACCCAACCTAACCTAACCCAAACTCAATATATTCAATAACTTAATAAATTTAAACTAAAAATCTAACCTAAATTAATCTGACAAATTTGTATGACAAAACCTAACCTACTCAATATATTTAAAAATCTAACCTAATCTAACTTAAACTCAACACACTTAATAATTCAATAACTATAAACTACAAGTCTAACCTAAAGTAATCTGACAAATTTGTATGACAAAATCTAACCTGCTCAACATATTTAAAAATCTAACCTAACCTAACCTACTCAACATATTTAAAAATCTAACCTAACCTAACTTAAACTCAACACACTTAGTAACTTAATAAATTTAAACTACAAGTCTAACCTAAATTAATCTGACAAATTTGTATGACAAAATCTAACCTGCTCAACATATTTAAAAATCTAACCTAACCTAACTTAAACTCAACAGACTTAATAATTCAATAACTATAAACTACAAGTCTAACCTAAAGTAATCTGACAAATTTGTATGACAAAATATTTAATAAGTCTGAAGGATAAAACATAACCTAACCTCAACATATTTAAAAGAGAAAGTTAATTTAATAAATTAATAAATTTAAACTAAAGACCTAACCTAAATTAATCTGACAAACTTGTATGACAAAACCTAACCCAAACTCAACATATTTAAAAACCCAACCTAACCTAACCCAAACTCAATATATTCAATAACTTAATAAATTTAAACTACAAGTCTAACCTAAAGTAATCTGACAAATTTGTATGACAAAACCTAACCTACTCTACATATTTAAAAATCTAACCTAACCTAACTTAAACTCAACACACATAATAATTCAATAAATTTACCCTATAAACCTAACTTAATTTAATAAATTTCACTGACAGAACTAACCTACACATTTAAAAAGCTAACTCAAACAGTTCAAACTAAAAAAAAATTCCACCCAAAAAACCTGAATAAAATCATATCTAAAAAACATTGCCTGTTTTCAAATAAAAATTCATAAAGTTTACAACGTCCGCCAACGTCGCTTATCTCCCGAAATTCGTCTCCCTAATTACTTTTCATAATCGTCGAAACCTAGCGTGCTCAGATCAGCTAGATCGAACCGCCTATTCGAGAGTGCCGTGCCTTTTATCGCGTCCCGCGAATCTCTCGTGCGGCAAAACTGAGCCCAGGTCAGTGACGCGTGCACGAAAAGTGTCATGGAGGGCAACGTCCGAGATCTGGGCCATCTTCCCCCGTTTTTCCATCCCTTTACTCGATTCCCTATCCCGCGAAATTCCGACCGAAACAGTGACCGTCTTACAGATATCTTCAAGCGATATTCCAGCTCCCTCCACATTCTAAAATCCTAAACCTATCCCAAAACACTTTCTCTTTCCGGTGGTCAACCGCCATCATTTTCGGGGTGAAAGTCCAGCTCAGATCGATACGTATCGGGTCGACGGTCGACGAAGATCTGAGAGCACCGTAGCACCGATTTACTACACCTGGCTAGCAACCCCCTCCACTTTGGCCGGAGTGGAGG